ATAAAAATACTCTATATGTTCAGGATAAGAGCCCTGAAGGGATTACGGATCTAATTGGTTAGCTTTCATATTTTTTTAACTTATTTGTGATACCAATTTTGTGTTTGTCAACACTGTTATACGTAACAGAATTATAAACAAACCACATAGCGGAAAACCCTGATTGCCCCTGTTCCGCTGTTTACTATGGAAGCGTTTGCGTCAAAGCAGCGAGAAAAGAGGATCATCGATCCTAGCGTTGATAGCATTTCTTTGCTCTAGTCGCTTTCGTAATGAATGGAGGAAAATTAATTGAGTGAGTTATTTACTAAACCTATTATATGGAGATAGTAACTGAAACCATGAGATTATCGTAGTTTCGCTATAAACGCAACAAAGGAAGCTATCTTGAATAGCTTTTATCGTAGCTGTGATGGATACTCTTTTTCCTAGCACTGAAGCTACAATGTAAAGGCAGCTATACTCGATGAAAACAGCGATGAGAGCGAAGTGAGGAAATCATATTTTTGTTTTAAATGATAGCTCTTAGGCTGAAGCGACGCATAGAGCTGTATTCAGTTGCTTGATCAACGATACAAGCGTTGTCATTCAACGTTCTCTAAAGACCCCTATACTCGATGGCATGTCTAGAGACATGTCTCATCGCGCATAGGGGCCTTCAGCTTCTATCGCAGCTCGCTATAAACACACTCTTAGCGCACACGTTGCCACTTTAATCGCTGATTCCATGTCCACTGGGTTCTAACACGGAATTTCATTGTTCCGATGTTTATCCTTGGTAATTAACTTGAATTTAACTCAATGGCTATGCGCCCGTTTCGTGTTTTAATTAAATTTGAGCTTTTAGGGTGAAACGATGTTCTGAACTTTTGATTAAACGATGGTTTGGGATGTAAAGCTACAATGGTTGGATTTTTTTAAACGTTTCATGTGAAAATTAGAGAAAACGTTAACTCGTTCCATTTTATTGGCTCCATTGTGGGCATATTTATAAGTTACTACACATTTACTATATATAGTATACTTTGTAGCACTGTTATGTACTCCCGTATTATGCGATTAATTTAAAATTGTGGGAAGCAACATTTATTTATATTAAAATTAAGTAATTCAACCAAAGCAGATAGAAAAAATATAAATGCCTAAGTATTTACAACTTTTTCTTTTCAAAATGAGACTTCGGGATTTTTTTAATTTCACTGTAAAATTGAATCAGAACTGTTGATTGATTATAACAAAAATTTGCTAATTTGTACATAGAAACAGAAACGCGTGGATATTTTTACAGATATTTTATAGCCTTTCATTCACTATAATTACAATTTTAACTAATACATGAACAAAGAACATGAGTAAATTGAAAATACTAAATCATAGATTCTATTAGACAGACATTAGAGATATATTAAGGTGTACGATATTTATTATTACGACTATTAAACCTTTAGACAATTTATAAAATAATTAGAACAATCAGTTTTATTCATTTCAATATATCTATATAGTAATTGTAGATTTAAATAAGGTGATCCTTTAAACTTATCCATACTACCAAAAATACTTACTCAAATTATATTCATACGCTAGTTCTACAACAAATTTTTTTGTATAAATTAATCCGATTAAATAAAACTCTTTAAAATAATTTGAATATTAAAAATTATTTTTTATTTCTCTTGAAGAGAATTCACGTACTCAAACATCAAATTAGAATGTCAGAAACCCATACAGATTTCCACGAAGCTATCTGAAAACTGCCGCGTGCACATCTACAGTCCGCGGACATTACTACGCGAGACACCCTATAATTCGCTCGGGGGCGTAAAAAGCGACAGACAAGGCGACCGCGGTGTCACGAGGATCACTCGTGATCGACCACCGGTCATCGATAAACGGACGAAACCGATTGCACGAGAGGATCCTGCGCATATTGTCCAGATAATTGGGTGCTAACGAGTGATTACCGAGTGTCAAGAGCACGCATATCACGGCGGCCGACGAACGTTTAACGTATTTGTACCATTGGCGATTGAAAGCTCGGTCGCCTCGAGTGGTCCGTGCTTCGTAATATGAAATCGAAGCGTCGGCTCGCGTCTCGCAGCTCCCAAACCGCATCGAAAAGCCTGTTTTCGGGATAAAATTCTAGAACAGAGGTTGGCACGCATGAAGTTAATAATTGAGAGCAGCATGCCAATTTTTCATGTATTGTAACAAGCCACGCCGTATTTAATATGCTAAATTTTATAAAAATTTCTATCATATTAGAATTATTAATATGATCAATTGATATCATTGAAATTTATTAATATGATGAATTGTTAAAATTATTAAATATTAAAATTGTAGTGCAATTAAGGAAAATCTGAAATGATAAAAAAGTCAGTGACATTAAAAAGTGTTTCAGGCAAGCGCTGTGAAGACAGAGCAAAACACATACTAGTTGTATTTGTTTAACATTATGGTAACCTTGAATATGTCTTCAAAAATCACTATTATAAAATATTAAGTAAAGCGCTTTGATTATTACTATACAATCAACCTAATTCGGGATCCCTATTCTTGTCTTTTTTTCTTTTTTACCATTATTTCCTAGTTTATTTCCTGATTTCATTTACATTGCCAAATATTTATACTTCTAA